TTTGACTACTATTAACAACATTAATACATAATTTTATCTTACTTTAAAAGACAGATCATGTAAGGGGTAAAAAATAAAAATTTAAAGTTTGCAAAGATGATTAATAGGTATTAAAAATATCACATGTTAAACCTTTAAAAAACTCTTCGGTAAAATTAGTAAGTTTTGAGATTATACAGTTTTAATACGAGAAGACGAAATGATACACATTCAGATGGTATTACAACATTTTATTGTTTAATCGTGGAAACGGAAGCCTCATAATTTCTTCCACTCTATCCACCATGTATAGCTTCTATTAATTCTAATGCTAATAATATATTTCATAGTATAATAGTGTCAGTGTAATTTAAAAAAATGCTAATAGTTTCAGTATTATATTAAAATCGTAATTTCGATATTCCTAAACCATAAGAGAAAAACAGAAAAAAGAGAATATACCACTTAAGATTTTATCAGACACATATTTAGTACCTACATGTCAATGTTTAAAATTAATTTTTTTCGGTTGATATAGCCGAATTATTTTACCTGGATATTTTCAAGATAATTTATGTACTTTAAAAACGTAAAAAAAATACACTTCAATACCAAACAGAACTAACAAATAATTTCATCTTTTTGAAGTGACACTTCTTTAGGCTCGTTGAGAGTAAAATTTAACTTGCGACAGATTCGTTACGGCTAGAGAGAAAAGATACCAATTAGGAAGAGCGAGAGTGAGAAAATAGTCAGAGAGTCTTGCGACCCACTGTTTACGGGTGTCGGCCACTAGATGGCTTGCTATTTGTTTCTCATTGCTCCTGTAGATGTAACATATTAACTATCTTATATTTTATTTAGTTTAGCAACAACTATTGGATTTCATATAGACTACTACATTGCAAGGCCAACGGTGTGAACAGCTTAGTTTAAAAAAAAATGAAGAAAACCACAATACTACACACTGCAAAAGAAGTTTCACTTCTTTCAACTTGCACGAGCAGAATTTTTTTAAGCTCTCTATACTGGTACACAAGAGCGACTTTATTTTGTGTTGTCATCAGTCCATGATACGTGTGCAAATTTTCAAGTAAATCGTCTTGAAGTCTGACTGAAGATTGTGATGACGTTCAAGGATTCTTTTACATACAAACAAACATATACACATACATATCGAGCTAGTAAAAGTGTTTTAAATTTTAAATAGTTTATTAACTATCATTCCGAAGCATTATTATTCCAGAAACATGATATGTATTACTAATATTAAAAAAACCTTCATGTCCAAAAGGTCAAATAATTCAACGATATTTCAGATGTGATCAATTACCCGATATATGTGTATAATATTAGTTCAAACGTAACAGTTATTAATTTCAAAGGTTAGCCAGTTCCAAACGCTGTTCGAATAATTATTATTGTAGGTCACATAATCAAACCGTGGAAATATATTACTTCCGTAAGTATACCATAAATACGGTTTTTTATGTGTAGGTTGTGAGGAGTGTTGAAACGCACCTATTCGTAAGTTCCACGTAAATCCCATCTATAATGGTGCAGTGATTCCCCTAAGTTCCGTTAGGTTAAGGTTAAGATCTTAAGCCTTTACATAGACTCCACACTCAACTGGAAAGCCTAGGTATCTAACGTTGGACGAATTATTCGTGCTCTGTATCGTCTCAAGAATTTCTTACCATCAGCGACTAAGACTATGCTGGTACAAGCATTGTTTATCCCTATAATTGATTATGGTGATATGTGTTATTTTGACCTGAATGCAGAACTTCTTAATAAACTTGATCGTCTGCATTCGATTTATTTTAACCTTCGTAAATATGATCATATATTTTCCTATCGTGCTGATCTCAAACTTCTTCTGATTGGCCAGCGTCGTAATTTACGCGCACTGACGACTCTTCATTCCTTACTTATGTCTCCCGAACCTCCTTTCTATCTTACTCCCTATTTAAGTTAGAAGTTAAGAAAAGTTAGCGAAATCGTCATGAATTTATTAAGTTACTAGCTGACTCGGCAGACTTCGTAGTGCCTCAATCGATAAATAAAAGACCTAAACTTTTGTATAAAATAAACTTAAAACAAACAAAAGGAAGGACGGGGACACATCAAAGAAAAAACAAAATTGTTATTTTTATTCAATTCCGAGCATTTTCATATTTATCTACCTTTTAAACCTTCTCTGGACTTCTACAAACAATTCAAGACCAAAATTGGCCAAATCGGTACAGCCGTTCTCGAGTTTTAGCGAGACTAACGAACAGCAATTCATTTTGCACAGCTAATTAATAAAACGTTAATTTTACCCCAAAGTTCATTTAAATTAGAATTCAATTATAGTTATTGTAAAACCTAACAAAACCTAATAAAATGTATGACATTTTATTGGCTCGGTCCCTGATTAAGCCTTTTGGTTAGGTATTTTTCTTTTGGCTTCAAGAGTATAAACTAAACTAATAACCTATCTCCATTAAACTAGCCTTGATTTTGATTTGAAAACGTAAACCATAGCTGCCATTAAAATGTTAATACATAAAATATGGGACCTCTAAGACGAAACTAGTGTTTTAAAAATATAATTAAATCATGCAACGATGTAAAGTACGTCGTAAATAAAAACCAGAATAAAACGATTGTCGCAAAATGTTTTAATATCCGACAGAAACAAGGCGAATAGGATCCCCTTGACGAGATCGAAATAATATTTTAAAAGTAGAGGCTTGTGTTATTATGTATGTGTGTGATCGTGACTCTATCGATAGTATAAATGCTAAACAAGTTTCTAGCGAATCGAAATAAACAAATTATTTTAATGATGACATTTTACTGAAGTATTCGTGATAATATTATCTTTTTCTAATAATATAAGTGAATGTGGAGTCGGAATAGAAACCGGTAGACTACGACAGGGTCATTGGTTTTGCTCCAAAAACTATGCTATACTTTTAATATTTGTTTCAGATACACTATGCGATAATACATATATTAATTTCGATAAAAGGCAACCTTTATATGTATAATATGTGAACTTGGCATTTGAATATTAAAGTTTAAATTAATTAGATACAATTTAATAAAGACAGATTTCGACATATTGTTCGAGCACACAATGTTATATCATTATGGTAATTAAAGTTATAAATTATCTAAACTTAAAATAATTTGAAGGTTTTGTTTTGTATTAAGTGACTCCACTGCTAAGCTAAGGTGATCAAACGTTCAACTTTCTAAGGTAAGGTATTTAGAATTAACTTGGTACGCGCTGGGGGCAATACGAATGATGTAACAAGTCACATCGAATTGTAGCCGAAACCGTAGATCAGTGGTTCTGGAAGTGGCGTGTCAAAGCGTACCCTACGTGAACGAAACGCACACCTGTACTCTTTCAAAAGGAGCTTGATGCGAATCTCTTTCCGATTTAGCTGGGGGAACACTCTTGAACGCCCTTTTCGGTCAATCAATTTCCTGGGTCGGAAAGGTCAAGTACTTATAGGACGTCTTGGAGAAATGCATGACCGTACGCCTTCACCTAAACCTGTCCAGGTTCCTCAGCAGACCTCATGGTTTGCAAGTGGAGTAAATCGTTCCTTCTCGACAAGGTTCGCAATTTTACAAAGCGTGCAATACGTCCATTTACGTGGGCGTGTTCTGTGCCGCTAGAGCATCGTCGTGCGTGGTAAATCTGGATCATAACGACGATCTAGCTTTCGCATCCGTCTCTTAGTACGAGTATATCAAGACAGAGTCACTACTGCGCAGAGAACACTACTGCGCATCAATGACGTGACACGAATAATCACTTTTTATGACTGCCACTAACTATACAGCAGCCGAATTGGATCCCAGATTACGGAGCCTCCTAATCTACCCTAGATACTATTGGACGCTACTAGTACTAACATTAGTAGCAGCCACTTTATAAGTGTCCGTATTCATCGAACTTGTTTAACAGTTCGGTGTAAAACATAGCCTATAACATCAGCTCACTTAATTTCTCATCAGATCTTCTCAATGGGGTTCGATATCGATCTGGTGGTACATGTAGGTACTCGGGAAGCAGCTGCTTTTGAGTTGTTAGGCTTTCTTCGGAGACCCTTGGGCGATTCCTAGTAAACTCCCCTCTCAGCTAAAACTTAACGTCTTGGTTAAGTGACAAGGACCAAGCGGTATTTTTTCATCTCAAGAAAAAAATCGGTCGACCTATATAAAAGTCCAGTATAAACAATTAATTTTCCTACCCTAATTTCGCTTTAAAATATAATTTTTTTTAATGAATTTTTCTTGAACTTTATACAGGAACTAGCATCGGCATTGAATTAAAAAAAAAGATTTATTATTGTATCATTTAAGAAAACAATGTGCCTATTGGGTTACCTATATTGCCTGTATTGTAAAGGCTAACAACCCGCAAGAATTTTATTTTAGCCGGTATTTAAGTAAGTAGGTGGCTATTCAATTTTAATATAACGTAAATATATTATTTTAATTCTCACAAAGAAAATACAAAGAAAGATTAAGCTGGTATAAAAGAAGAAATAAATGCTTCTAAACCAGGGTCTTTAAAAAGTATTTGAAATCGAACAGTTAAAGAATTTTCAACCATGTTGCTTTACGACACTATAGGTATGTTGAGTAGTTTCTGAGATTTTCGTAATAGTACACCTCGGTTAGAAGCGGTTTCAATTCTCAATTCTTGTTACTTCTTGAAATTATTTAAGAACGAAATGTTACATTCCAATGCACCAAATTTAATACTAAAATAGGTAAAAAGCATAACTTTAGGCCCGCAGTATAAAGAGTATGTTATAGTAACCTGTAATCTTTATATTTATAGTATTATTACATAACTTTATTTATTTATTGATATTTATTTATTTTATATCATTATTATATCTATCTGCAAAATTTGAAACGTGATAGTTGCTCGAAAAGAACTTCCTATACGCGCGTAACGCGCGCTTCATTGGCAATAAATAATCAGTTTAGCAACAAAATTAACATACCAACAGTTTCTGGTTCTGGTAGGTAAGGAGTGGCTGCCAGCATATTCTGCAGGTCCCTGACTCCTCGTTCTAAGTCTCCTGGTCCTTCCCCTAACTCCTGCTTTATTACTTCCGCCTGCTTTAGCGATGGCCCTTGCAAAAACGCCATTGTTCACACCGCGACAATCATTCACGTCTGTGATCAATCAAATAATGTGAATGTGCACACCAGCTAAGTTACAAGAAAACTGAGAACAAGTTGAACACGGCACCTTTTATAAATAAGCATGCTGGTTAGAAACGTTACGACTTAGGTATAGTATACATTGACGCCGCAAATTCCAACTTGTAAGACTGCTTAAAGATCGGATGTCACGGCTAATATATTTAAAAAATATATTTAATAAAACATTAATTTTTAGTAAATACCGCAAAAAAATATATATGATAAAATCTAGCACTTTTAAAGATGTGACTTTGAAAAAACGAGGAAAAACACATTATTATGAACGTCCGCTTACTTGCTTGCTATGACGTTTTCTTTTATTGTTGATTCATTTAAAATTATAGTGAGGTCAGAGTCTCAGGTCTCATGATAATAGCAAATAATATTGTACTAAGTATTTTTTTTATCAACCCACTCACGTTCACAATTGTACACGGGCCTCCCCCAAGGCTCACCACAATAATCAGTCTTGCGTAGTCTGCATCCAGAGGGCTCCCGCAACTTTTAGCAGGTCGTCGATCCACCTCGTGTGAGGCCTACCCACGGTAGTAGTAAACATTTATAAGTATATTTGACTTTGGTAGAGGATACGGGTACGCGGCAAATTACTGCCGCGAATCGTCGTGTTCTAAAGGATGAGATGTCCAGTACACTCGTATCGAAGAAGGGTGGGGTAGCCGTTGTAACTATACTAAGACCTTAGAACTTATATCTCAAGGTGGGTGGTGCATTTACGTTGTAGATGAGCTCCAGTAACCACTTAACACCAGGTGGGCTGTGAGCTCGTCCAACCATCGAAGCAATAATAAAAAAAAAAACACCTTGCAGATCGTCAAGTCCCACATACCCCGCGCGCCCCCTAGGCGCGGGGACCTCGTAGGAGGTTCGGACCCGGTCCGAAAAAAAATATGCCGTTGTATTATGACATGGTGGTGCGGTCGATGGCACTGTACGGCGCTCCCATGTGCTGCCACGCCCTAAGCCGCAACAACGTCGTGACGTCCGCAGCGCGCGATTGCGGGCAGAGTGGCTCGCGGATACCGCACAGTTTCGTTCGAGGTAGCGTGCGGGATGCCTCCCTTTTTTTTTTTGTCAGGAGGAAATCGCCGGACTTCCGGCCCTCCACTGGGAATGGCGGGCGGGGTATGTCAGAGTCGAACTGACTAAAACCTCCTGTCGCTCAACAACCAACGTCCAAACCTCGCATGAGGCAGAACTCAACACAGCACATCTCTCCCATCACCCTCCCCCTCGGGACGCCGGATCGGCGGTCGTCGGGGCCACGGCCACCAGCCCTCTCGGTCGGCAGGCTGTCCGAAGCCCACCTAGATGGCGCCGGTTAGAGTGGGTGGGATGCCTCCCTAGGACCTGGAAGCGAACACGCTCGCTGCCGGTTACGCGTGGCCGTGCGATCTCCGCTTCAGGGGCAGCCGCGTCCTGGCGCGGCGGAAGTTCGAGTGCGGAAGGTTCAATCTCGGCGTGCCGTGCTCGAGACGTAGTCTCGCCGCCTGGCGGACCCCACCTACGGGCGACGATCCGTCGAACCGATTCGCCCGGTTCTCTCGAACTGGGTGAATCGCGACCGAGGACGTCTCACCTTCCGGGCGACGCAGGTGCTCACGGGATACGGCTGTTTCAGTTATCTGTTACCTGCACCTCGTCGCTCGGAGGCAGCCGACGCAAAAGTGCCACCATTGTAATGGTTGTAACGAGAATACGGCAGAGCTCACGCTCGCATACTACCCCGTTTTCGTGGAGCAGCGCCGCGTCCCCGTTGCGGAGATAGGATCGGACTTGTTTCTTCTGACCGTCTTGGCTACGATGCTCGGCAGCGACGAGTTCTGACAGGCGATGCTCGACTGGATGCGAGAAGGCGCTGGAACGGGAGAGGGAGAGCTCTTCTTCCCTCTCGGCGCCGTGCCGCGGGTCAGAGGAGGGCGTTCGTCCAGCTCCAGTCCCTGTGAAAAGGCAGTCTCCTCCTGGTGATGGTCATGGAGTTAGACCTGGTCAAAAGGCATTGAAATGCTTACTAAAATGTTTTGCCTATTAAAAATATTGTTGACTTATTTTGATTTTTTTATTTAAACGCGTGACACGCCTTTATTGATTGAACTATGAAAAACTCTTTACTTAACATATTGTCTGTAATGAGTGTGAAGAAGTCTTAAGATACTTACATGGCTAATGGTGGCGTTAGGTGTTCATAATTGCTATTCAGGCAACAAAAACAAAAACCGGTACTTGGTTATGAGGTATCAGCCTAAAGTAGCGCTACTCCATCTCTTCCCACGAACTTCGAAAAAGGCGACAAGGGATTCACTGGAGAACGAGTACCACCGTTCACTGGGTGTTATGTTGTGCTGCGTTCCCCAATCGGCGTGAACTGGTACTGTATGGCGTATTTTGTTTATTAAGTAGATAGGTTTACGAGATCACTGCCCACCTGTTGTTACGTAGCTACCAGAACCCAACGAATGCTGTAAGCTCGCAGGTATATTCTCCTACTTATTTCTACCGCTAAGTAGTGTACCTTTCAAAAATGGGTCAGCCAATCCAGAATACAATAGAGGCTTAGATCACATGTCTCAAAGTGAATGGTGACATTCAAGAATGATTTTTATGGGCGTCGTTAACCGCTTTCCGGGTAGGCCGTGAGGTCGTTCACCCAGCTACGCCATAAATAAATAAAATATGTAACTGCCACAAGTTACAATTCTTTCCTGTGTTATGGGTGCCGGAAACTATCGATGATACATCAAAACTCCGAATACGAAATTTCTTTGACATAGGTGGATAATCAGGCTGGCAATCGAACCCAGTCACCAATCAGTGGGCCAATGAGACGATTAAAAATAGTAAAATAAGTTAAGAGAAGTTTGTGATTAAGAATTAATAAAAATTAACCGTCCTTAATAATCTTTACTTAATTGAGATATAATAAAGTACAGTCATACAAATTTCAACATACCAATATAATTTATTTACATATGCGTTTACGCATTTATGCATCTGCTTAAGTGTACATAGGAAGCATTATTGAATACAAATATACATTAAGCGTTTAATATTACTAACTAGTAGGTAAGTGAATTGGACGATAATCACTTACACCTCAATTTATTTTATTGCTTGATATTTTTATTCATTTTTATTACACGCTGTCCTTCCTTCACCCTTCCTTCACCGCGGAAGTCAATCGTGAACAACGTACGTATTTCGTTAGAAAAATTGGTAGGTACATACCTCTCTGCGGGATTCACACACCGATGCCTCACTTGATACGATTGCACCGAGTGTCTTACTCTTTTAAACCATGAAGACTTCTAATTGTTTCCTTTTTAAATATTGCATTTTCGCTTAAGTGTTCTCATTGATATTTTTGTTAAAGTGATGATATTATAGCATGAATCACTAAACGGGTCTTTAATGTAACCGGAGCCCATAGAAATCGTCATTGCCACCGCTTATTTTAGATTTCAAATCAAAGTCTGAATTAATTTGTTTATCGGCTGTCCATCCTTTTAAAACGCAACATAACTGCTTCGTGGTAGAAATAGTCAGGATGGTGGTTTTACCCGTGCAAGCTTACAATATGCCTTGCCACTACTTAACAGGGTAGAAATTTAATGTTTTAAATTTTTATATTGTATTGTATATTGAAATATTTATATTCAAAGATACAAAACAAAATTGGTTGCGAAATAGAGGAGAAAATCTATTTTATTATTTTACTTTTTTTGAAGATTTCATTACCTGAGAACGAGATTACTACATTCAATTTAGATAACTGAACATAATTTAAGTTGCGAATGTTTACATTGAAAAAAAAAAAAACAGATGACGTTGATTTCGTGTAGTAATGGCCACCATTAATAACTAAAAATTACTGAAGCTGGCTTCTCAGGTTCTCTAAAACCACTTTACTTTTCATAAAACAAACATAGTTTCAGCATTTGTTACAAAATATATATTAGTACGAACTATGTTTCATTTGCCTTCTAATAGGGGAATCAAACATACGAATGTCAATTTTTTTATTTTGTTGGTTTCACCAGGTTTAAATTTATAATAACGGTGGTTTATTAACTGTTTAATATCTGTGGAAGGGCATAGATAGATACAAAAGATTATGCAGTATGGTATGATACCTTTGCCTTTCCAGTTGAAAAAAAGGAACTACTACAACTGTCTTACTTAAATGTCAATTCGATATTCAAAAAGCAACGGCAAAATATTGGCAGTCTAAAAATAAACAATAAGCATGAATAAAAAAATCAATGAACTTTAACTAGCAAGTGTAGAAAAACAGTGGCAAAATGGAACCTTCAAAGGAAGCAATAGCTGTGCGTATAGCACGATTAAATCGACAAATACTAGGCAAAGCTACAAGTGGTGTAAGTAGAAGCAAGAAAACAGTGGACCGAGAAGCATTGTTGGACGCACTTACAGTATTATACGATGAATGTAACGATGATCCTATCAAGAAAACTGATGAATTGGTTAGGGCTTTTGTGGATAAATGTAAGTTTTAGCACACCACCACACTCCTGCTGGCGTTTTGGGAATTTCAACCTAGTCTTCTAGCTATTTAATTAAAACCAAACAATATCTATTACTAACTAAAATTTGATAACAAATTCTTGCTGTTGTACAAATTCCAAATTTACTTTCCTGTTTTTTGAAGTAACTCAAAACATTTGTGTCATTTTATAATAAATTCAATATCTTTTGCACTGTAAAAATTGCAAACACTGATGTTTTCACTTAAAAGAATAAAATTATAAAAATACACGTTAACTAATAAAAATGAACCAATTAAAATTTTAACACTTAAATGATATCTCAATACTTATACTACAATACTTTTACTAAATTTTTCAAGTTTTTTTTTACATAATAGTCTATATTTTTTAACATTATTGTAGACCGCAGCACTTTGGCAGAACTGCGAAGGACTAGAGTTTGTATTTCTGACTTTGAAGTAGTTCAAACCATTGGACGTGGATATTTTGGGGAAGTAAATGTAAGTAAAATATCTTCTTTTTTTACATATTGTTTACTGGTGCTAGGACCTCTTGTGAGTCTGCGCGGGTAGGTACCGCCGCTCTGCCTATTTCTGCCGTGAAGCAGTAATGCGTTTCGGTTTGAAGGGTAGAGCAGCCGTTGTAACTATACTGAGATCTTAGAACTTATATCTCAAAGTGGGTGACGCATTTACGTTGTAGATGTCCATGGGCTCCAGTAACCACTTAACACCAGGTGGGCTGTGAGATCATCCACCCACCTAAGCAATAAAAAAAAAAAAAANCCCACCTAAGAAAAAAAAAAAAAAAAAACTTAAAACAGTCAAAATGGAACTTAATTTTTTTTATTGGAATTTTTCAATATCCTTATGGTTATGCATATCCTACTCTTTTAACCAGACCAGACGGTTGATTTATAGCAAAAAAATTATAGGTGATTTTTAGATGGTAGTACTAATCAGTTTGGGCTTAACATACTGATTTCTCTAATATCCATTGAATTTTTAAGATATTTACAATAATCAACAGATGGTGAGAGAAAAACAAAGTGGTGATGTATATGCCCTAAAAACATTACGCAAGGAACAATCACGGAAACGTGCCATTGCTTGCACTGAAGATGAGAGGGATGTGTTGGCATCAACGACTAGTCCTTGGATCCCACGTTTGCAGTATGCTTTTCAGGTATAATAAAAAAAAAAAAATATATATATATATGTATATCAAAAAGTGTATAAAAATTATCAAAAGTAGTATTAGAATGCTATGCTCATAAAAGAAAGTGATGACTTCAAATCGTTGTAAAATTTGTATAGGAATTAAAAGCTAAATCTCAGTTTATGTCCTCTTATGTAGATATTGGGAAACAGGTATTAACAAAATTACAAACATTCTTGATCCTAGCTTTTGGACACTATTGTCTGAGTTATTTAAGTTTTTTTGTGTAGTGATTTGAAGACCACAGAGACTTGTAGCTGCTGATTTGAAAGAGCTACAGGCAGTCTCCGATGTTATGCTATCTAGAGTTTTTGGCTCAGCCTAGATGGGCTTCGATGGCTAACACGCCCAACCGAAAAAGATATTGTGGCGCTGTTAACTACTGATTTGCCCTCCCATGGGATTGAAAAAATATATTTTCAATAATGACCCATTAGAGCACATACATCCTTAATTGAGAACCACCTTTCAAATTTGGATTCAAAATTTTCTTTCACTAACTTTGATTACTCAATATGTACATGTCTCCTTCACTAGGATAGCAACAATTTATACTTAGTAATGGAGCTGTGTTCCGGTGGAGATCTTGCCGGGCTGATGTCTCGTCGAAACCATCCATTATCAGAACGAGATGCAGCATTCTACATTGCCGAAGTTGCACATGCTCTGAAAGCACTGCATGGGATGGGTTACATACATAGAGATGTGAAGCCCCACAACATATTTATTGATAGGTAAATGAATTAATATTCGAGGATGTCATTTGGCCGTCGCATGACTGCGATAATCATAAAAAATATTTCATTCAATATTATCTCATAAATATTTTTTCACATCTTAAAAGGTCACAGTCGATTTGGCTGTCATCTGCCATTAAAGGGCTTCTATGATCCATAGGTGCTACTAATAGCAATTTTTCTAAAAATGTTTAAATATTTTCATAAATAGTGTTACGCGTTGGGGTTCGGGATAAATAAAATTCCACCAAAGTACAACTAAAAACTGTATTCAACACTTAAAACACACAACAAACACTTTAAAGCTCTCAATTCGCTTGTTCCGCTTCGCTTCAGGTGATCCGTTTGCTGTTTCGCTTCGAGTAGTTCCGATTACTGACTGACTGCGTGCCATCTCGACAACGCTTTTATAGTCGATACCTCATCCCTAGAATTATCGAGAATATTCCACACATCTCTAGTAGTCGTTTCTGCTATCTGACAATAGATGGCGTTGTACTTCTCGAGTGTTCTAAGTCTTTCGATATTCGTCCGACTATTCGGTTATAGATGGCGTTACTCTTACCGGCGTAACAATAGTTTCCACATAAGTGAATGAATGAACAATAAAAACAAATTAGACTCCCTATTAAATGATACACACAAAAGTTAATAACACAAATGATATTTATTTTAGACTAGCGACTCGCCCTCGTTTCGCTTCGGAAACAAATTTTATTATTAATAGCTGAGTCCCGCGATGCTATCCGCGGTTATTGTCGTAACGCGGGTGAAGCCGCGGGGCGAAGCTAGTCTAAAAAAAGTAGCCTAAGTTACTCCTTATATTATCAGCTACCTATCAGTGAAAGTCCCGTCAAAATCGGTCCAGCCATTCCAGAGATTAGCCGGAACAAACAGACAGACAGACAGATCGACAAAAATTGTAAAAAATGTTATTTTGGTGTATGTACCGTATATATATTCATATGCATGTAGTAAAAAGCGGTTATTTCAATATTACAAACAGACACTCCAGTTTTATTTATATGTATAGATGTGGTCACGTGAAGCTGGGCGACTTCGGTTCGTGCCTGCGCCTGTCGGGCGGCGGCGGCGCGTCGGCCGCGGTGGCGGCGGGCACGGCGGACTACGTGGCGCCGGAGCTGCTGGCGGCGGCGGACTGCGCGGCTCGACACACTGTGTGTCTGCAATACTGTCGCGGGATACACGACCAGCCCATTGTGGGTTTGCACGACAACCGCTTCTGCTTAAGAGACCTCTAAACGAGCAACTTCTATACATTGTTTCATGATATCAGGCCAGTAATGACATTAATGTTGTCTGTGGTACAACCATTATTGGTTGATGTATAATTTATCACATTGTTCTACAAAGTTTTCGCATAAACGGCAAAATCAGTCTTGAGTATCTATAATATTGATGACCAGATAAAAATGCAGTCGTGTGCGCACGCCTGGGATTACCAGCATTGTTGGAATTACCCCAATGTTGACAAACAATACGTACATAGCGCTATAATGCGAAACTATATTTAGAAACACATACATATCTGAAAATATTGTTCATTTAGAGGTTTCTAAAGTTCTAATATTGGCCACGTTCAATACACTAAGTAAGGTTATGAGAGCAATGTGTCGTAACTGTTCGTATATAAGAGAACTGCTCCCAGAAATGAATAAAACAAGTAGTATTTTAATTCCGGAAATAATATTATAAAAATACATCAATGCCAGAAACACAAAAAGTTTCATTTTTAGTACTTGTCAAAACAAAACAAATGGTTCTTAATTCGTTGAGGAAGGCATTCTAGGGCTTCAGTACCTACCATCCAGATTCACGATCGGAACAGCTTAATGTTACAGATTGTTAGACACTAATATACATACAATATTTCAAAGTTACATGACAATTAATTACAAATGACAATTGAATATGGAAAGTCTACAATTAAATAAAAAAGTCCATTAAATAAAAGTTTTAGATTGATCTATTTGGTTTTGTGGCCAAACGGTAGTGTCAAATGGGATAAAGACGATTGGTTTCTACTAATCCATCCATAAACAGAGATTTCCTGTGACTACCAGCTTAGAAATCTAAAATCACAATGCACTAGCGTTTATTTGATGGGGGCAGATTTCTCTAAGTTGTGTTGATGGATATATCCATCGAATTCCATCCAGAGAAGTTACTAGAATTTCAATTCTAGAAACTTCTATGTGATGATATTGTAGTACTGTTAGTGTAGTTGGCATGTGGAATGTCGTGAAATAGTGTCGATTCAGAAATTATCAAATTAACAATCCTATTTTTAAATGGTGGTAGTGTTGTGAGGCTGCACGGGTATGTACTATCTTACCTATTTCTACCGCCAAACAATCATGCGTTTTGATTTAAAGGGCGGAAGAGTCGTTACACAATATAACTCGAAGTGTCAATTATATTGTATAACGACTAATTTCTCAAGCTGGGTGGCGGTATTCACACTGTGATCTCTTTGGAATCCTGTAAACAACAACTTAAAACTAGATAGGCCCCGAAAGTAATTCACCTATATATTCAATAGAGTCAAGAAAGGCACAGTCCCTTAAACGTATCTCAAGAATAGTCGCACAGTCTAATCTATATATATAAAAATGAAACCCGTTTTCCGTTGTCACGACATAACATGAAAACGGCTTGACCGATTTGGCTAATTTTGGTCTTGAATTATTTGTGGAAGTCCAGAGAAGGTTTAAAAGATAGATAAATATGAAAATGCTCGGAATTAAATAAAAATAACAATTTTGTTTTTCCTTTGATGTGTCCCCAGTCGGACGGATTCCTTTTGTTTGTTTTAAGTTTATTTTATACATAAGTCTTTTATTTATCGATTGAGGCATTACGAAGTCTGCCGGGTCAGCTAGTATAAAAATAAAATAAAAATAACACATTATACAGTAATAAAAAAAAATACAGTTTTATAAATTACTCATATCTGAAAAAGTTGTATTTATGAAATCAAAGTACTACCTGGTATATAAACATCTCTGTAAAGAAAATTTGGATACAGAATCACAACTGTTCCATATTTCTGATATGAATTTGAATTGTCACATCCCTAACATCTTCAATTGCATAGATAGTACCTACAAGCATTTTGTTGATAAAGTTACGTACTAACATACTAACTATGTATATAGTTGTTTTTTATGCACAATATTGAATGACATGGTTGTGGTAGATTTATTCACGGTTGATGTGGATATATAACTATAGAATATTTTGTAAGATAAATTAATGTGTGTGTGTGTGTTTTACATTCCTTAACAAGTCATCGTGGCCTAAAGGATAAGACGTCCGGTGCATTCGTGTTGAGCGATGCACCGGTGTTCGAATCCCAGGCGGGTACCAATATTTCTAATGAAATACGTACTTAACAAATGTTCACGGTTGACCTCCACGGTGAAGGAATAACATAGTGTAATAAAAATTATAATTTGCGCAAACCCGCAAAATTATAATTGGCGTAATTACTGGTGGTAGGACCTCTTGTGAGTCCGCGCGGGTACGTACCATCGCCCTGCGTATTTCTGCCGTGAAGCAGTAATGCGTTTCGGTTTGAAGGGTGGGGCAGCCGTTGTAACTATACTCGAGACCTTATATCTCTTATAACTTATATCTCAAGGTGGGTGGCGCATTTACGTTGTAGATGTCTATGGGCTCCAGTAACCAATTAACACCAGGTGGGCTGTGAGCCCGTCCATCCATCTAAGCAAAAAAAATTTGTGCATTTCTTCGGCATTTTGAATTAAATGGAAAAAAATATTTTAAAGTATTATTTTTATTGTCATAGACAGGTAGATAGCGTTCCTAATGTTAATAGGTTAACGGAGCCCATATAGATTATAAGGCTAAAAGTGCTCTAATATGTGAGGAACAGATTCCAATTGTATTGTAAAAAGTCCCACTCTTCAAACCGGAAAACATTATTGATTCGCCGCAAAAATGGGCGAGACCGTGTGACCTATCCGTGCGGGCTCAGGACACGCCTTCCCTATGAGCGTTATCAAAATTACTTTTCAAAATATATGTTACTAGCGACCCGCCCTCGCTTCGCTTCGGAAACATTAAATTTTATTATTGATAGCTGAGTCCCGCGATGTTATATCCCGTCGTTCCGCAGGTGACGCCGCGGGGCGAAGCTAGTCTAAAAAAAGTAAAGCCTAAGTTACTCTTTATATCATCAGCTACCTATCAGTGAAAGTCCCGTCAAAATTGATCTAGCCGTTCCAGAGATTAGTCGGAACAAACAGACAGACAGACAGACCGACAAAAATTGTAAAAAATGCTATTTTGGTGTATATATATTCATATGCAGTAAAAAACGGTTATTTCAATATTACAAAAAGACACTCCAATTTTATTTATATGTATACATTTAACGTTACAAGTTAAAAATATACTGTTGTGTTTACACAGACGGCATGCGATTACTGGTCACTGGGTGTAGTTGCATTCGAATTGGTGACTCTGAGAAGACCATTCTCTTCGGACGACGAAGATTCCGTGATGGACGTTCTCAATAACATACAAAAGTAAGTTTTTGTTTTGACGACACTGCATGTTCATATATAATAATAATAATAATAATTAGCCCTTTAAACTGGGTGAGATTTATCTTTGTGATTGGATCTTTTGGTTTGTTTGTTTATAAGATGTCTCTCAACTCAGTGTGCCTTCTGGCAAAGGCCTCCTCCAGTAGTCTCCATTGTTTTCTATCTTGAGCAACTCTTCTCCATTTGGGTCCGGCGGTAAGTTTCAGCTCATTTTCCCATCGCATTTGTTGACGTCCTCGACACCTCTTGCCATCTCTTGGATACCAGTTCGTTATAATTTGACTCCACTTTTCTTGTCTAGATCTCAACATATGGCCGGTCCATCTCCATTTTTGGAGGTCTATTTTTTCCAGGATGTCAGTTAGTTTTGTTTTTTCTCTTAATTGCACATTGCTAACTCTATCTTGTCTTCTTGTTCCTGTCATGCTTCGTTCCATACCTCTCTGGCACTTTCCCAGTTTTTCTCTATGGTGTTTTGTAAGGGACCATGTTTCGCAGCCGTATGTGATGCATGGGAGAATACAAGTATTGAATACTTTCCTCTTCGTTGCCATATTGTGTTCTTTAGCTTTTACAACTTCCTTAAGAGACCAGTATTTTTTCCACCCATTAGCAATCCTCTTATTTATTTCCTTGGTTGTTTGGTCTTTAGGGGAGATGATCTGACCCAAGTAGCAATATTCGTCAACATATTCTACTTTTTGTCCATCAATTTCAATGGGCCTTATTTCTGAGTTAGTCATCAATTTCGTTTTTGTTATGTTCATTTTTAACCCCACTTTGGAGCTTTCAGTATTTAGAGCTTGGATCATCTTTTCGAGTGCCTTTGGATTTTCTTCAAGCAGAACTATATCGTCCGCGAATCTTAAGTGGTTTAGTTTCCTTCCGTCTATGTTGAGGCCTAGATGTTCCCAGTCAAGGTTGCGAAAGACGTTCTCTAGCACTGCTGAAAACAACTTTGGGGACATTGGGTCTCCCTGCCTGACTCCTCGCTTGATTCGGAATTCTTTTCCCAGGGTTTCTAACTGGATTTTTGCTTTACTGTTTGCATATATATTTTTGATAATGT